TCTGTTGTCTGTCCTCACAAAATGAAAAACATTAAGTGACACAAGCTAGTCTCCAGTTTAGTCCATTTACAAGCTCTAAGTGTTTGCACACATCAAAAATTTCAAGATGGTTTGGACAGCAAACCAGGAAAGAATTTTCTTTTTGCCTTAAAGAGGGGAGGGGGGAGGGGGAAATAAAAAAAAAAAGAGAAGCAAACAAACAAATTAAGCACGAAGAGGAGCACTTGTCAAACGGCTGGGATGGTGCACTTTGAGTTACTGACTCCCCACAAACATCCAGTCTACTAAAAAATTCATAAAGGGACAGATGGCACAACAGCAGCTCTTTGCAGGAGAGCAGGGTTTAGCAGGGAACAAAGGACTTGGACTCCCCAGGACAAGAGGAGGGATCATTGGAGGTTTTTGGGGGCTTTGGAAGGGGGAACTGGAGCACACAGGGAGCTGAGTGGATTGTGGCTCCTGGTTTCACCCCAGAGCAGCAACAGATTGGGGGCATTTCTTGCAGCTTGGCAGGCTCAGGAGGAGCGGGGAGAGCAGAGCAGGGCAAGGACAATCGGACCCTGCCACGGGGGTGAAATCCTGCTGGCAGCACAGAGAGGAAAAATCACAGCAAGAGCTCCTGTGAAAGGGCCTGAAATCACTTTTCACAGCCAGGTAGTTTCTAATGCTTGGCATGAAGGGGGAAACTGAGGCAGGGATTTGTGTGATTTAAGGGGAAGGGGAAGTTTGGGGTCAGTGGGAATGGGATCCAGATCTCTCCATTCAGGTTGTTCTGCCCCTGAGCATTGGGAAATAACCCTGTGTTACCCCATGATTTTGGGGATCAAAAGAAACAGGATTCTGCACTCATTGTCAAGTTAGATCCTTCCAAATGAAAGGTAATTTATGTGCCATTTTTAGGGAAAAAGAACACACCCCCCCCCACACAGGAGACATAAAGCCCAGCCCTGTTAACGTGGACACCTCATCACACAGAGCACTCTAACACTGCAGGTCACAGGGGCTGAACCTGCCAACAGCTTTCCAAAGTGAGCTTTAGTGCCTGTGAAACCTGCCAGGGATCCAGGGAGAGCTCCCTCCTCTGTTTGTCCTTCCAGCAGGGAAGGAAAGCTCCATCCGTGGTGCCCCGATTCTGCAGGCAGGGCCGGACCCCCACGGCCCAGGAATGTAATCCAGGCTCTTTCTGCTCCCTCACAGGGATGCTGACAAGCTGCCAGCTGTGCTCGTGGCTTGGAGTGTTATTATTTTTGAATAATAATCACAAAACCCCTAAATTTCTGACAGCAAGTGCCAGCTGATGGATGCTGCGGTTCCCCCACCCAGTGAAACCAGTGTGCCCAGTGCTCAGCTGGTGCCAGGCGGTGCTGATCCAGCTGCAGCCTTGGCCCTCACTGGTTACAGCACATCCCAAACCTCAATGACACTCCCCACATCCCAAAAATCCCCTCCAAACTCCACCCACCCACCCCATGATAAATAAATAAATAAATAAAATGTGGCAACAACAAGCATTAAATAAGTAAATCACTGTAAATAAATAAGTAAAATGTGGTAGTAACACACATTAAACTCCTTACAGGACAGTCAGCAAGAGTTTAGGATAAAAGCAGGAGGTCCTTGTCTGTGAAGCATCTGAGCTAAATGTTCCACAAGCCCAAAGATTGTTTCTCTCTATTAGAGAAGGGGGGGGAAAGGCTAAAAAAAAAAAAAAAAAGGCAAATAAAGTGCTCAACCAAAAAAAGCACCCAGTTCTCCCCAGGACCTTGGAGGTTTGAATTAGATCACAGTCTCAGTAAACTCATTAAAGCACCAAGAGTAACAAGCACACAGAAGGACCTTCCCTAAAGAGCTTAAATCTTCAGGAAACACAAAGAAAATAAAAATCAGAAGATCGTTCCCATCTGATGAAGGGGGAATTTCTATCCAGAGCCACACAGATCACCTAAAATCAGAGAGAAAAGCTGCAGCAAAATGAGGAATTAAGTTAATTTGCAGCATCAGCGACCTCTTCACCCAAACACCAAGTTCCTTGTTATTTGCACAACTGGGGTGGGGAAAGGCAACAAACTGAATGATTATAACCTAGGCTTGAGAAAATGCAGCTTTCAGCTGGAAGTATCATCTTTAAGAGAAGGAGCTTCCATCCTTCTATCCGTTTCAAATCCCTTTCCACGCTTTCAGTGAAGGAAACATCAGCACACCGAGTTCACTCTCTGATTTCCAGGAACTACAAGGAACTTCAAGAACCACCACTTGAGCCATGAAAATAAATTTTACATTTCTGAAGTCTCTTAAACCTCCCAGTTCCAGTGCTTTCAGTCCTGGGCTCCAGGGGAGCTCCGTGTGGCTGGGGTTTAATGTCTGAGCTGTGTCATCGCTGAGAAAGCAGATTCTGGTCAGATTTACCCTGCAATTCCGACTCAGAACACCACAAGAACATAAATACTCCAGT